AAATGCGGTCCATTATGCGATCGCATAATTGATATGCGGACCGCATTTCCATCACAAAGTGAGTCAATGTGTCAGTCAAATTTGAGGTAAAAAATGCTGTGCATTGTGCGACCGCAAACCGTGTATGTGGACCACATTTCCGCCGCATACCCAAACAGTGGAATCAGGTTTTTGGAACACTTTTTGCGGTCCATTCTGCGGACCGCGTTTCGTATCTGCGATCGCAAAGCACGACCGCAAGCCTGACTCGGGCTCTTAATTTTCTAAATTTTAAACCCGACCCCCTTTTTAATAAAATACCCCAACCCCTCATTTTAACCACTTTTCTGAAAAAAAAATAAGAGAGAGGGAGGAGGGGTTCTTGAGAGAGAGTTCATCTTCTTCAAAACTAACCGGGCTAGGAAATTTCAAAGTGAGTGTCTTCATCCCCATTCCTGTAGGTAAAATCCCTAACCCATTTTCATTAATTTTCAGGTTTAATTAAGGGGGGGGGGGGGGGTAAGTCTCATGCATTGATTCTTGATAATAGAGGTTGAAACATTCATGCATGTCTTTTAAAACCTAAAATCTGGTAAGAGGGATTGGGTAGGAGTAAAGGATTGTACAAAGGAGGGTTAATAATTTAAATGTGTTCGGGTAGTGATTGGGAACTTTGATTCTAAGAAATATGTGTTAATTTGTGCACTAGATTGACGTTTCTAGGCTTTTTGGTGAAGTTGGAAGTAGAAAATTAAAAGGGAATTCGGCTCCAGGTATGTATGGCTAACTTCGACCTTTGTAAAATCACCTTGTTTGGTGTTTGAGTGTTTGGTATGTGATCTCTACGTGGGTTGTCTGTGAAATTCTCGTGATTGGTATGGTTGAGTGTTCGTGGTTATGTCTCTCGATATAATGATGTAAGTAATTGGCAATAAACCAAGTGTGTGACTGCGAATGTGCTATGTGGTAAGAATTGTGAAACAAATGATGGAAGGAAATGGTAATTGATGCAATTGGAGTAGCTGTGGCAATAACATATATGGCTTGTCGGGGGAAATTCTCATTGTAACATTAAAAGCATATGAGATGTGGAATACGATGGAAATAGTATTGATGTCTATGGAAGTTCTTGTAAATTGTTGTTGTTGCTCTTTGAGAATTGTTGTTGTTATTCCTTGAGAATTGTTGTTGTTCTTTGTGAATTGTATTTGTTGTGGTATTGTTTGTGAATTGTGATTGTTCAGTGGGATCGGGTTGCGCGCCGCAACACGAAGTAATAAGGTGTGGGTTGTGGTGATAAGGGTGGAAAGTGATCGATATCACTATTGAAATGAAAATATGAGAAAAAGTTGTGCAATCATTGATGTGAAAAATGTTGAAGGGGAAATGGAGAGATTGTAAACCTGTTTGGCTTGATTGTTTCCTTTCATGTGTATTTGATTGTTGATTCCATTATTACTTGTTACTTGTGTATGGTTTGAGTTTACTTAGGGCAAAGTTTGTTCATACATACCAGTACAATTCAAATGTACTGACGTCCCTTTTGCCAGGGGCGCTACATTCGTGTTATGATTGTAGGTGGATCCATAGCAGGTACTCCAATCCACCGACCGTAGCTCCCCTTTACTTCCCGTCAGCTGAATTGGTGAGCCCCTTTCCTCTCGGGGCTCTGCGTGGCTCATGCCGCTTTTGCTTCGGAGTCATGTTTTAATATTTATGTAGGTATAATCGGAGCCTTGTTACCGGCAAGTATTGTATTATCCTTTTTGTATCCTTAGAGGCTCCGTAGACAGTAAATGTGGGTTACGAACTTATGTAAAATGTATTTTGTATGTTGGGCAATGTAATTTGTAAACCATGCTAAGTAATCATGTTTGTTATTGTATATTTCGTAAAAAGGTGTTTTAATTATAATGGCTATTTCTTTTGATTAATGAGTAATGAAAATACGGGGTAACACGTGGGATAGGAAAGGCACCCAGGTCCGCTTGACTAGGGCTACCCTGTCGAGCGCCGGTCATGTCCCTCAGTTTTGGGGCGTGACACGGGCAAAGAGAAATCAAACGATACAATGCTGGGGCCAGATGATGCTCTCAATATGTTCTTTGATTGCATGGACAGGGCCACGTTGGAGGACTTTTCTAGTCTCGGTCATCTAGAGGTCCCAAAAAAAGGATGTGTCATCGGGAGCGGGCGAGCCGAGCTTGTGCCCGAAACTAGTGAAGCAGTTCTCTGCCTCGAGTGTGGACCCCAACCGTAAGAGAACTATTGTACTTACTACCCTGCGGATTCCCGGGCCTTGTTCGCTCCGGTAGGCATAGCCAGCTACCTTCGTAGACTTGTTATCGAGGAGGACTAGGCAATGATGAACGAAGTAGGCACATCGAGCCTCTTCAATGATGCACAGCAGCAACTAAACCAGGTAAGGGTATACTCTTCGTACCCCTTGTGATTTTCCATTAGTTCTAGACATGTTCTAATGACTTAATAGTTTTTCAGGCTTCAGTGCTTCATCATGAGAGCTTTCTTCGGTCTCGCTTAAAGATCAGTCAGCTCGAGTTCGAGCTCAAAGATCAAGTTCGGAAGAAGGAAATGTTCATGGCCTTAGCTAACAACAAGACGAGGCCCTCAAGGACCTCCCAGTTCTCCAAGCCGAGCTAGAAAAGGCTCAGATGGAGGCCTCGTCCTTGAAGCGGGAGCACACCGACTTGGTCGAGAAAGTAAGGATCTTTGAGGCTAAAAACGAGAAGCTACTTATGGTGACTAACAATGCATCTTCGCAGGTCCAAAAGAAGGTAGACCCGATTGACTAGCTTCGGGCTGAGAAGGATGAGGTCAAGGCTACGATCGAGGAGTGGAAGGGCAGGATGGACCCGCTGGCTTCAAAAAAAGAGGCTACAAATGAGTAGCTGGCATTGGCCGAGGACCAACTCCGAGTGGCAATGGACAAGGCCGACGAGTGGTCTCGGGTAAACGATGAACTCCGGGCACAACTGAACTCGGCCGTCACGAAACGGGATGCCCTCGGCCAATAATATGCGGTGCTGAGGTCCAAATTGGAGGCAACTTCTATTGATTCCTCTAACATTGTGGAAATGCTGGCCCGGTATAAGGATGATGTGGAGATAGCCGAGGCTCGCTTAAAAACGAAGACCAAGTACGTAAAGCGGCTATCCCGAAGAGAGACCCTCGAGGATATCCATGCCTGAGGTTTTGACCTGGCGATCGAGATTGAGGATGCCAAGAGACTTGGGGCCAAGGCTAAGGGACTCCCGAAGGCTCCAAGATACCGAGGGCTCTGAGGGCTCCGACAGTACCGGTGACGAGTCGAGTCCCGCTGCAGACCAGGCGTAAATGCCTAAGTTCTTTTTTAATTTTCCTTGTATATTTTTTCTTTTTTATTTTGAGGCCATTTTATCGTGCCTTTGTAAATATGTTTTTCAATATATATAATATTTTCCCCTTTTGGAAATACCATGTCTTTTACTTTCCAGCATCTATTTGCAATTTTATTTGTGTATCGTTTTTAATGTCATAGCATAAAATCAAATGTAGTCTAGAGTATCCGTTCTTCGGAGGCCCAAATAGAGCCCGATTTCGATGGTGATCACGCCCAACTATGCCGTATAAAAGGACAATGCGGTCGCTGCAAATATAATCCGGTTTACAAGTCCGGAGTCGAATCCCACAGAGAGTTAACCTATCAATTGCTACCTTCAGACCCACCAAGTCTTCAGAACCAGCTTCCCAAATATTCAAATTCTCAGTTGAGTGTTCTTTAATAACTAACTTGCAAGTAAATAAAAGGCTATAACTAAATTAGAAGGGTTGTAAACAATTATGAGAAAAAGCTAAGGCAATGATTTCCCCTGTTGATGGAATCCCTTGTGTTTATGCTCATACAAATTTACCCACACATCTCTATCAATCATGAACGCTAATCTTACCGCAAATCTCTCCCGAGTAATCACAGTAATCTACTATTGCACTCTCCCGAGATACACTAGCTTGCTTAATTTCGCACAATTCAATTTAAATTGCACCCAAGGCTTCGTTATTCCTAATCCCGCCTTTAAACCCGCAATTATAGATTCCTCTAATAATCTAGGAGTGGTGTTGTTCAACAATACCCTAAATATGCACTCTTTTCCAAGTTATGCACACTAAATAGGCACAGCTAATTGAGGATCCTGTCAATTAACTACAACGAACACGAAGTTGAACAAATAAAGATTTAACTAGCAATTTGTATTCACATAAACAAGAAGTTCATCACCCAATAGGTTCCATCAAAGCCTTAGACAAGGAATTTAGCTATTCATAGATATGGGAGAATAAACTAAGCTTGAATTCATCATAAAATCAAAAGAAAAGAAGAAAGATGTTTAGAGTACTTTCTCACAATTGTTTTCCTTGTTAAGAAACCTAAAAAATCAATACATGCCTCTCTTGGGCGAAGTCTAGCGTTTTAAATAGGGTTTAGGTCTAAAAATCCCATGTTTTACACTTAAGTCCCCGAAGTTTACTATGCCCACCGCGGTTCTACCGCGGTCGCGGTAGAACCTCGGTCAAACGCCTTCGCGGAATCTTCAACCTTCAGAGACTGCCTTCCACCGCGGTCGCGGTAGAACCGCCGTGGAACTTGTACCCGGGCATTTTGGCCTGTTTTGAATGGGTTACTTGGGAAATTCAATAATTAGCCTCTTTTCATCAATAGTTGACTCCAAAACCGCTCCTTAGCCTTCCTTACACCTATATCACCTGCAAATCATGTAAAGCACTAATAAGAGCATTTTGTTGTCATTTTTCACATTAAAAGTTCACAAGAAGGTGATTATTTGGTGCATGATTATAGTCAAATTCACCTATTATCACAGTCTAAATAATATACACAATTAGGTCGTTGATCAAGTGGTTAAAGGTACTGTTTTTATTAAGCGTAGATTTATGATTTGAAAATATGATAACTTATAAAATGTATGGTATAACCGTTTAATTATACGGATACTTTAAATAAAATTCTAACCTGTAATGCAGAGGATAACTCCACCAAGAGAAAGCCATCCTTTTTTACCATTTCTTTGGAAGTAGTCAAAAATGTATTTGGGATTAAAGGCACGCAAGACGCTCACATCATGCTTGAACAAGTTGTACATACCGGTACCACTTATTAAACAAAACCAAATGCATATGGCTGGAGCAAATGAGTATCCCACTTTGTCTGTACCAAAACGTTGAAAACAGAATAGGGCTACCAGTATTGCAACGGAAACACCCACAATTGCTTCTGCAAAGGATCATTATTCATTTTTTTCAGTTGTTTGATCATTGAAAAGGAATAAGAGAAAGAGAAGAATTCATTAGCATCCTTTTAGTTTCTGTACCTTGGCCTAGAGGCTTGATCCCACTTACAGCAGAGAGAACTGCGCATGAAACACACCAGATTAACTAATGATTTATCTTATACAAATTATTATTTGTGTTATTTATTGTGTTGTAGCAGGTCTTGTATCTTATTTAGTTGTACCACTTATTGTTGACAATCACTTGTAGTTTTCTTTTGGGTGACTTGATAGTATAAAAATTCTTTTATTGTTAGTGTATATGGAACTGAGGGAGTATGACTATATCTTACACATCTAATTAAAAAAAGTTTAGAAGTATTTTGATAAGTGATATTAGGCTCAATTTGGGTTACATATTCATACCTCAAGACCAGCCCAGTCTTTAGATGCGCTGACTTGGGATATGCCCAAATTGACTCGCCATTAAAATGTACTCAGCAGGTTGGACAGTTTATATCTTTATGAGCTAATTTAGGCAGTCCTAGTTTGATATGATGATCAAGGGATGAGATAGAGAGTATATATTGATATTTAGAGACCTGAGATGGAAGGAGTGATAATTCCATCGCCAATGACCATCGATGTTCCAAGGATCGCAAGGAAGACAAGAAAAAATCTTGCAAATTTAGTGTTTTCCAACTTATGTCTGATCTTCTAAATTGATTTGATGGTATGTCCAGACCGTAGCGGGAAAGCTCTCTATCCTCTGGCTCCTGGTTTGGGATGAGACTCACTTTTGCATATTAAGGAATAAAACGCAAATGCTCCCCCTGTGTGCAAATAATTAAACATGTTTGGGGATAAAGATCAAAGCACTTAATTTTTTGTGTGAACTCGGGCATAAATTCTTCAAATTTTTTGAAATAAAATTTACATATTTGAAACTACTTGAAATGTGCTAGTCGTAAGACAACATAACTACTAATTCAAAATATTAAAGAGAGTTTGACAATTTTAATCAAAGACAAACTGTTTGACTCTCCATATAATGATACAACATACCCAGTATTATCTCCACTGTGGGATCTGGGGAGAATAGTGTGTACGCAGACCTTACCCCCACCTTGTGAGGATAGAGAGATTGTTTCCAATAAATCCTCGGCTCAGGAAAGCATAAACACCATATTAATGATAGCGTTACATAAAATGGGACAGAAAAATTAAACTACTACTGAGATAGCAGTGAGGGACTCACCATTGCCATTATCGTTTGCCCATAAGAAAGTGAAGACATACTTAGTCATAGGTATGAGGAATATGGTATATATGATGAGGGACAACACGCCCAGAATGTCATCCTTATCTCCAATTTTTTCAGCAAATGTACTTTGAATAGTATAGAGAGGGGAAGTCCCCAAGTCTCCGTAGATAACTCCTACGGACTGAAATGCTAAACTCAGTATCGTCTTCCAATCATCCTGCAGTCATGCCACAATATCACATGTATAATCATCAATGACCATCGATAATCTATATACCTAGCTAATAGCTATAGTACAAAACATTGATTTATATATTTGACAATATATATTATCTTTATAATATAAGTACAAATTTACAAAGTTATTACTTGCCATATTTTTCAGATTGCTACAAATTTACCAAGTTATTACATACCATATTTGTCAGACTACTAATTCATAGTATTTTAATATAGACACTTACTTATAATCACATTTCTAATTGTATTAATCTTGAATTGACAAAGTCAGTACTACATAAAACTTAAGTATATGCCTTGGTAGTTTAATTTTTGTGCGCGGATAATTTCTAATTTTGTTACAGCATCAGGTTAAGATGTATGATTCTCTATAATATGCCTGAATTAATAATACAGAAAATAAAGTAAGTGACATGTTATAAAAAGTTAAGATGCACTAATCAGAGACAAAACTATATTAAAAGGAAGGGGTTCAATTGAATGCTCTTCATCACAAAATTTTAATGTCTAAATAGTGTAAACAGTTTTTTGATATATAAATAAAATTTTTAAATCCCCTTAATATAAGGAAAACTTATAACACCATAAAATAACAGGAATTAGCGACGGGCATATTCTATCACTAAACAGTAAAAATTCATTGCTAATCTGTCATTGCTAATCTTATTTAACGACGGATTAGCAGTACAAAAATCCTGTTAATTACGGCTATTTAACAATAGCTACCAACGAATTTTTTAGCCTTTTTTTGTAGTGTAATGAAGTGGCAAAGGGGGCTCGAAAACTGCTATAGGTCACAAGTTTGAATTTGTTTTGTGGAATTCTTGTATTTTCTTGAATTCCCTTATTAAAATTCCAAGTAGTGTCACTGCCACCAATTACAAATCCATACCTTAGAGAGAGTTTGAAACTTTTCCAGCTTCCAAGTTGAGGGAGTCCACACGGTATAACTTCGCCCATGAGACTTTGCGGCCTTTTAGCTGCCCGATGTTGCTCTTGTTTTCTGCAACCTCTTCTGTATGAAGATCACTATCTGAGCTCGCCATTTCGATTCACAAAAGGGCTTCTTTTCTCTTTGTTTTTGCTTTGCCAGTCACCAGTTTTGCTCTTTATAAGCCTTCAGAAAACTCAGACACTAGCCCAAATTCCCCTCATCCCTAATACTTTGTACTTGCAGAAATTATAATCTGATCTCTAATCTACGTAATCTAAATCTAATATATATGTAAATCAAAGGTCAGGATTTAATATTCCCTCTTTGAATTAACTTGGAATATGTAAAGACATGGAAAAGGAAAAGACTAAAATGTGCAGATCATTGAACTTAGATAAATACTTTTCCCTCATTACTTTGCTTTTTCTCCTAATTTGATGTCTAGAAAATCTGCACAAATTAAATACATCCTATTTATGTCATTCCTCATTAGGGGTATCATTTATTTCTTTTCCTGAAATCTCTCCCCTTTACTCCTTTGTCTACCGTTTTCTTCAACTACATTTATCTATTTTCTCATTTTGTTGCTATTTTTCCCCTCCTAATTTGATGTCTACAAAATCTGCAACAACATTAATTATATCCTATTTATGTTATTCAGCATTATTATCATCTATTTATTTCTTGAATCTCTTTCCTTTCCTCCTTTGTCTATCATTTTCTTCCTCTACACTCATCTATTTTCCCAAATTTTTTGCGTTTTTTTTTTGTTCTCCTTATTTGATGTCTAGAATACATCCTGCTTATGTCATTGCTCATTATTTTATCTTCACTGAAATCTCTCCCCTTTTCTACGTTTTTTTCTACTACTTTGGACATGAACATGTGCAGCCTAATAAATTTGATTTACTTGACTCTATATGATGCTGAAAAGATGATTCATGTGAATTCATTTCCTGATTTAGTTTCCTCCTTCAACGTCAGGACAATCCTATGATGATTCAGCTTTACATTTCTTTACAAACAGTGCGAGCACCATAAGTTCTTGGCTTAGGTTCCATTGTTAGACAAAATTTGGGAGATAAAACGAACTCTTGGCTTTATGATTCGTGGGAAGGACTGGTTACTCTTAGTCTCTTTATATAGAGTTCTAAGTGTACATGTCTTTTTTATAACACTGATGAAAATTTACTTCTCCAGTAGTGCTTAATTATACTGTTAAGTGTTTGCTATTGAGGGATTTTTGAGCGACTTAGGTCATTCTTTCTGCTATTGAAAAAGTTGTAATAGTAGAAAACTGTTTGATCTCATCAAATAAATTGTAGTGTCAAACAAGTTGGAACTTGGAATAGAGGAGTATGTAATACATTGTTTGAAACAATACAGTTAAATTACTCAAACTCAAACCGAAAGCTTGCAAACATTAAAGGATAAAAGAGTAAAGATATACAAACTGCAAGAAATCACTTTGTTTGTTATGCGAGTATTTGATAGCACACTTTCACTGAATGATTTTGGAGTAGCTAGGTCACAATTATAATTCATAAGTCATCCCGACCCTTAGCAGCCTAGCCTGAGGAATAGCCATAGCTTTGTCCCCTTGCCTGAAGTTCTTGCGCAAGAAATTATAGCCATAGTTGACAAATGCTTTCTTCAAGAACGAAGCATCTTGTTTAGCCACCACCTCTGCTTCTCCCAGGAGATAGAACACTCCTTGTCCCTTTGCTTTTTTCACAAATTGCATGTCTTCTTCTTCCAAATTTGGGGACACCGTTTGTATTCTACTTGATGAACGATTTGACTGAGCTGCTGGAGTGTTCATTGATCGAATTGAACCAGTTGACGAAACTCTAGAATCCACTTGTCGCTGCGAGTCTTCCTCCATGTGGACCCTGGATGATTTTCCAGCTACTAATTGTCCAGATACTGGTGGTACAATCCCTCCATCTGTTATAACTTGTTGATCTGCTGCAAGAATGTAATGTTCATGTCTAATGAACTCATTCAATTGTTCCACCAATTGGTTTTCAAAGTCCTCTGTATCCCCAAGTTGATCTTTGTATCCCAACCTAACTACACAGCGGAACACATTGTATTCTCTTGGCTCAACATGTCGGAACAAGAAACGTTCCTGTAGTGCTACTTTACTGATAGGAATGGATTTTATCGACACCAGGACTATGACTGAATGGACCGACGGGATATTGGAGACAAAATGAGGAAATATAGGTGGAATCCCCTGCACTAGTTCAGAGTAGAGTAATCCTATTCCAGGTACTCTTTTGATGTCAGGATTATTGGCCAAGTCCCTGACGTACTCACTTGACACCTTGTTATTGAGCTCGAATTGGTAACGAAGTTTTTGAGCATAGTGCCAAGTTCCCATAATGATCACGAGTACGACTGAAAAGGCTAAGGGTAGATAACCACCTTGCGTGAATTTTGTCAGCTGGGCGGAAAAATATGTAGATTCTATGGAAAAGTACACCATGTAGAATAGGGTAATCCACCATATGCTGATTTTCCATATAACAAGCATTACTAGTGTCACCATATTGGTGGTTATAATCTCAGCAATAACCACAGCTATACCATAAGCATGCCCCAATTTTTCTGTGGTTTTGAAGCTGAGAGTAACTAGAACACATGCAATCATGAGGAAGTAGTTCAACTCTGGGATGTAAACTTGACCCTCATATTTGGCAGATGTGTGAATTACCTTCACCCTTGGGAAACAGCCTAGACCTTGGGCCTGAGCCACAATAGAAAAGGTTCCAGATATCATTGCTTGACTTGCAATAATGGCTGCAGCAACAGCCACTACAAATGTTGGCCAGTACAATGGATCTGTAAGTAGCACCAACAAACCAAATTATGAATGGTGTTACATTATATGTGGCTTGCTCTATCACTTAAGAACATAATTTCTATGGGGTCGTTTGGTTGGAAACAAGTTATCCCGGGATTAATTATCCCAGGATTAGTTATTCCACCCTCCCATAGGGATAAAAAACACTATAAACCCGATATAACTAATCCCGGGATTAGTTATGCCGCAATTGTATCCCAACCAAACATGGGATAAACTCATTTCAAATTTAATCCCGAGATTAATTATCCCTTATTCTTCGTACCAAACGAGCCCTATGAGTTTAGTTTTTCTGCATTGATAGTGCATACTAATTTTTTTCTACCATCAAGTTAAAAATTGACTTGCAATAACAAGTACTATCAATCCCTTTGTTACAATTTATGTGACGTAGTTTGACTGGATATGGAATTTAAGAAAGGATAGAAGACTTTTGAAACTTGTAATCTTTATTAAACATGCTATAAATTTGTGTGACGATAAAACTTTTTCATTAAGGGTAAAATAAAAAAATTTAAAGTTAAATATTTTCAAATATAGAATTGTGTCATTTTATATACAGAAATGGTGTCACATATATTGGAATAGAGGAAGTAAATGCTTTTCAATTTGGAAAAACAGTAATAACTTGTGATATTAAAGTGTTATATATACATAAATATTGGGATGGTATATAATCGTATATTGTTCCTGTGTTCTCAAGATTTCTTCGTCGTGGACTATATTAAAGTTGAAAGGGTTAATAAATTTCTACTTGCCTGGAATGGAGGCATAGAAAGTATTCTCAACATCTTCAGGGAATTTTGAGAGGTAAGCAGCTTGTCCACTGTAAGCTGAGAGCAATGCTGGAAATACGAGGCAACTGAAGCTTATCTGCATTACATATATAGACATGGTGAGTTCAGTTCGATTGACAAGAAAATAAAAAAAGAATAACAAAATAAAGAAAAATTAAATTTCTTCAATTATGTAGGTTTCATTTGTCCAACTTTGGCTTACTGTCCACATACAAATCTTATTTCTCCATGTTTTCCATTAGGAAATTTCTTAATCAACTAATGTTACATAGACTATGTTTTATAGTACACGAGTAATCTTAGTTCTTTTGTGGACATTAATGTAAAAAAAGAAAGTACAGTCAGATTTCTCTATAACAATCATTCACTATAAAAATTAAATTTTTTCCAGAACCGATTATTATGGTGTGTTATAATATATGTCCTCTATAACAATAATTCACTATAGCAGTTAAAAAATATTGGAACAAACGAGACTGTTATAGAGAGGTTTGACTGTACATCCTTAAAACTCGACAGTTTAATATCAAAATTTGTGTACAAGTCCAATTATGACAAAAGATTGTCCAAATACTACGTATATTACTGCCAGGAAGCTAGAGTTAGAAAGACGAAAATAAATAAAAAAATTTGAACAGGACTTACTTGAATAGAACGCACACTGAAGTGACCCAAATCAGCAAACATAGCTTCGGATCCTGCAGAGTTTCAAAAAAAGGTCCTTAAACAGATGAAAATAAGTGCGGATTTGTAGTCCCAAATATGACAAGTAAATTCTGTAATTGGCTAAATTAAATTATACTGATAGTGTAAATAAACTGTAACCTGTAATGCAGAGGAAAACTCCACCAAGAGACATCCATCCTTTTGTACCGTTTCTTTTGAAGTAATCAATAATGTATTTGGGATTAAAGGCACGTAAGACGCTCACATCATACTTGAACAAATTGTAGAGACCAATGCCACTTATAAACAAAAACCAAATGCATATGGCTGGAGCAAATGTGTATCCCACCTTGTCTGTACCCAAACGTTGCGCACAGAAAAGGGCTATCAGTATTGCGATGGAAATACCCACAACAGCCTCTGCAAAAAATCTTTATCCATTAGTTGTTCAATCATCAATCAAAACCAAAAAAAGGGGAGGAAGGGAGAGAGAACATTACTCCTTTGGTTTGAGTTTGTGTGGCGGAGTTTGACTAGACAAGTTTAAAAAAAAGATTTGAAATTTGAAACTTATGGTTTTAAATATGTCATGAGATTTCTTATGTTATAATGTCATTAAGAATAAAGTGAGAAGTTCAAATTTAAATTATTTTCAAATATATACTGATTGTCTGATATGTTTTATTTTGTAAATGAATTAATAAGAAAATAATATCAGATTAAATGAAACGAAGGGAATAATTCTTTAGCATACCATTACATACAAGTTTTTTCTATATTTGTGATGGACAATTCCATTCCGTCACAAATCCATCCAAAAATCCAGTTTGCGACAAATATGTAGTACGTAAGAGATAGGCGGTCGCCACAAAAAAGCGGGCGTTGCAAAATTTTGTACTAACAGATTACTAATTACCTTGGCCGAGGGGCTTTATTCCACTTACGGCAGAGAGAACTGCATGAGAAAGCACCACATTAAACCAAACTGTCGATCATATAGCTTGAAATGATAATAAATCTATAAGTATATATGATGATTGATGAAGTATATGTTCAATTAATAAGTATTTAATTAGAGACCTGAGATGCAAGGAGTGAGAACTCCATCACCAATGACCATAGAAGTTCCGAGGATCGCGACGAAGACCAGAAATATTTTTGCAAATTTACTCTTTTCCAAATTATGTTTGATCTTCTGAGCTCGACTAAATTGATTGGATGGTATCTCTAGATTGTAGTGTGAAAGCTCTCTATCCTCTGGCTCTTGGTTTGGGATGAGACTCACTTTTGCATATCGACATACTAAAGAATACAACGCAAATGCTCCACCTGCATGCAAAAGAAGCAAATAAAACATGTAAAGGGGAGAATTTAGGGTGCTCCAAATCGAACCGGAAAACCGTACCAAACCCAAAAGCTAAATCAAACCGATATTAAAAAATCTAATTAGGTTTGAGTTGATTTGATTTGGTATTGAGTAAAAAATTCGAACCAAACCGACATATAAATATATAATAATTATAGATACTTTTAATATTTTATATAGAATTTTCTATAGAAAATGTCTAGAAATATTTGGGATCCTCTCATGGGATGTAGTAACATTTAATAGAAGTATGAAGTGCATCCAGTTTTATTTACTTTAAATAATGGGTTGTATCATCACTTTCTTATCAAGTGTTATTGAAATGCGTCAATCCTTTTGTTCTTTCATATTCATATGTCAAGATCTGTTAAATTCTTATATCTTTTTCTAATTTGAAATGGTATTTCAATAATTTTAGAATTAAATAGAACATATCATTATTTAGGTTTCATATTGCTTTTTTATGTTTAATTATTAAATTCGGTTGACCTTGAAAGCGTACATCAACGAAAAATTATTGTCAGACGACTAAGAAAATAACTATCATGTGTTACTAAACATTCCACCATAAGAATATTTTAATAGATCATTTGTTTGTTATTTTGCACTTTTACTAAATATATTTTCACTTATCAAAACTTTATCTATAACTTTAACAAGTAAGATTGAAATAATAGTCACGTAATAAAAAAATTCGCAAAACCCAAAAAAAACTGACAAAACCGTACCAATCCAAACCGGTTGTCATAAAAAACGAACCAATCGAGGTCCTTGTACACCCCTAGGGAGATACTTAAAAGAAGAAATTAACTAATCCCTCCGTTTTATTTTGAATGATGATCTTGATTGGACACGAAGTTTAGCCAGAAAGGAAATTTTTGGTACATCTGGGGGAGCAGCTAGCATACTATTAACGGGTTCGACAGAACCTAGTAGTTTTTGGCCAGACCTTGTATTTTTTTTACAAAATTCACTTAATATATATAAATAACTTATCCATAACCCTAATTAAGCTACATTTACTAGAATCTAAAACCCATAACTAAATATTCTGGCTCCAACACTAGATACATCCCAAAACTACATTGAAGGTTATCATATTAAACATGTTATGATATCTTTACGATTATAATTAAGAGCATGTCATTAATTAAGGATAAAATAAAATATTTAAAGATAAAGAGATTTGAAATATAAACAGGTGTTGTTCTTTTCTCGACAGACTAAAAATGAAATAGTATGGGATAAAAATGAAACAGAAATAATCAAGCGCAGAGAGGGACATATTGTAACTTACCATCGCCATTGTCGTTGGCCCATAGGACAATGAAGACATACTTAGTCATAGGTACGAGGATTATGGTATATATTATGAGGGACAATACTCCGAGAATGTCATCCTTGTGTCCAATTTTATCAGTAAAAGTACTTGCATAAACGTAGAGAGGGGAAGTCCCAATGTCTCCATAGATAACTCCTACTGACTGAAATGCTAGACTCAATATCGTCCTCCAATCAGCCTGCAAGTGCAAATGTTCATCGTAATCATGTTACAATTAGTGGAGTATTACACTATTAGTAATTGCAAATTCATGATTTAAACTTGATGGATTCGACCTTCAAAATTTTTAACAATTTTCACACACACACATATATATAGAGATAATAAGTTGCATCTACGACTCACTATCAATGTGAATTTACAAGGTTATTTATCTGTTGTACTTTTCAGTGATTTGAAGGGGAGCCTTGCAGCACGGTATAGTTGTCTCTATGTGACATATAGATCAGGGCAGGGGCGGAGCTAGAGTGCCGTCAGCGGGTTTGGCCGAACCCAGTAGCTTTGGTTCAAATTATTTGTCTTAAAAAATCTATTGAATATGTATAAAGTATTAATTTAGAACCCAGTAACTTAAAACGATTAGAATCCTGAACCCATAAGCTTGAAATCCTGGCTCCGCCTCTGGGTCAGGGGTTCGAGACGTGAAAACATCCACTAATGTTTGCATTAGGGTAGAGTGTCTATATCACATCCCTTGGGGTGCGACGCTTCCCCAGATCCTACATGAATGCGGGATGCCTTGTGCACAGGACTACCCTTTTACTTTTTGGTGATCAAATTTTGTCTCGTTATTTTTTACACTGTCAGTATATAAATGTGAAATATATACCTTAGAGCCGTGTCGTGCTGCAGAGTTTGAAACTTTTCCAGCTTCCAAATTGAGGGAATCAACACGATGTAACTTTGCCCATGAGAATTTGCGATCTTTGAGCTGTTTATTGCTCTTGTTTTCTGCAGCCTCTTCTGTGTGACGTTCACTGTCTGAGCTTGCCATTTCTATTATCTCAACGGCTTCTCTTTTTCTTTCATTCGCCACTGGCCACTTAGCTCTTTATATAGGCACTCAAAGTTGAATACCACCCCAGATTAATTCCCCTTTTCCCTAATTAATATTTTGTACTTGCAGCGATTATTATACTCCCTCCGTTTCAATTTAGATGAGGTAGTTTGAAGAAGATTTTTGAAACTTGTGATCTCAAAAGCTTTGTGGGGCCATGACATTTGCGTGATTATAAAAGCTTCTCATTAAGGGTAAAATGGGTAAAATGAAGAGTTTAAAGTTGAATTATTTTCATATTTAGAAATGTGTCATTTATTTGATGCAGACTAAAAAGGAAAGTACCTCATCTAATTTAAAACGGAGGGAGTAACCTTTATTATAGCTCATACTCCCGCGGTGTTTAACTGAGTACGGAATTTTAAAAAAAAAATATTTTTGAAATTTGTAGGTCTAAAAGAAGTGATAGTTGTTTCCGTGACTATAAATTATCTCACTAAAAGTAAAATGAGAAAAATTAAAGTTAAGTTATGACATTCTTGTTTAGATAAAGTAAAAACAAATATATGTTAAACGAAGGAAGTGCTGTTTTTTTTAATTATATACTCCCTCATAATTGAGTAATTATATACTTAGGTTTTTATCACCATCAAAGCCTTTGTGAAGGCATCTCGAATAATTCCTATATATTTATATGAATGCCGTATATACACCTATGTGTACCAGGTTGGAGTCCGGAACCGAAATATGGTTCTTTTGGGCTCAAAATATTTTTTTAGGTGTAAAAAAAAAGGTTATATTTCTATATAAAACGCGGTTATGAATCGCGTTTTACCTTAACGGCCGTTTGGGATGTTAAGGTAAAACGCGGTTCATAACTGCGTTTTAAATTAAACGCTTTTTGATACAGCATTTTACCTTTAGGTGATAAGACAACTATATAAAATGCGGTTTTGTATTGCGTTTTATATAAAACGCTGTAATTAACCGCATTTTACATATTTTGTGGGCCCACCAATAACTGTTCTGCGCTTAACTGACATAACAATAATTCAAATATGTAAAACGCCCTTTAACCGCGTTTTACTTCCAAAAATTTGACCCCCCGGGATTGGGCATTGCCTTATTTAAAGGCGTTAAGGGTTTTGAGAAAAATCATTCAGAAATACCCCAACTTCGTGATAAATTTTTCTTCTTGTTAAATTCTCAAGCTTTTTTCATAATGTCTGAAGAGCGAAAAGTAAGGGTTTCATTATATTGGGGGAGGAGGGGGTGTGAGGTTGTGGTAGCGAATAACTCAGTGAGCTATAGTTTATCACCAGAGAGTCATGTTAAGTTGCCACTTACAATGGAGTATGATAGACCGGTATCGTAGTTATGCAATATAATAAGGTTGAGCAAACGTTCGGTGAATCTTAAAATAACCGGAAGATATCCGTATTCTGTGACTCCGCAAGGAGTTGCTTGTTACGCTGAGTTTAACATCGAGGATGATGAAACTCTGAGAGATTTTTTGGGGACTACGGATGAATACCGGGAACTTATTTTGATAAAAATGTTGGAAATGTACGTGAAGCATGAAGACGTTCGCGATAATGATGTTGCGCAGATCAGTGATAAACCTCAATCATCGGGTGGTTATTCTGGAGCAGTTTTAGCCCAACAGGTTCCGGATGAAAGAGTTTGGCCGAATCTAAACTTATCTCCACGGCCGAACGAGGAGCGAGGAAATAATTTTTCTCCTACTTTACATAATCTACAAGACGACTGGTAAACTTCAATTTTCCTTTGTGTTACGATGTTTATTTTTGTTGTATTGAATTTTTATTAACACTCATATATTCCACAGGGGGTACCATCCAGATATGAATTTTACAAGTTATGACCCCACGCCCAGTTGGAATATGCGTAATTTCGGTGTGTTGGATCACGGTGGTCCATCCGGGAGTCATCACCAACAGGATAATGTCCATCATGGAATGTCAATACATTACGACTTGTAAGTGAAGTGATATAGCTATATGTAAAGTATTTATTAATTTGAGTAGCTTATCATTTTATTGTTTGTGCAGTGAAAACGAGCAACTTGATGGTCCTGACCTCACTTAGTTGCCCGTAGACGACGTATTTACTTGGGATTTGGCAGATGCGCAGAGTCAGGAAGATAATAGTGATTATGACAACAATGCCAATGAGTCTGGAGATGACACACCCTTCCCTAACGAGGGTGATGATGAGGAGGAAGAGGATGCCGAACCTGAGCTGACAAGGGAGCATGCATTACCTCCCGTTAGACCAAGAGTGTACGAGTCCCATGCGCCGTTTCATTCAAGGCATTTTCCCTACCTTGATAATTTGCCAAGTATGCCGGATGTGGATGCCCTCACAAGGGATCTTGACGAAATTCGGACAACAATGTGGGATGAATCTAGACCAACGGTGCTGGCAAAGGGCATGTTTTTTTCCAATAAAGCTCGCCTAACCAGGGCTGTAAAAATGTATAGCTTAAGAGAGTGCCGTGAGATGACGGTATGGGAGTCAAGCCTGGATGTATACAAGGTTGTTTGCCGTAGATGGTTTACGGGTTGTCATTGGATGCTTCGTGTGAGCAAGAAGAAAACGGGGTTGTGGAAAGTGGGTAAATATACTGGCACCCACAATTGTGAAATGGACACATTTAATGGGAATCACTTCAACTTGGATGTTGACTTGATTTCTCTTCAACTGATTCCACACATTGAAGCGTCCATTAGGTACAAGATCAAAGAGTGTGTTACATCCATCTATCAAGAATGTGGGTGTACTATTACCAAAAGAAAGGCATATCTCGGGGGCAAACGTGCATTTGAAATTGTTTATGGTGACTGGGATAAGTCATTTGCATCTCTGCCCGGGTACATGGCCGCATTGAAACACTTCAACCCCGGGACTGTTGTTGAATGGAAGCTTGAGCAGAGTGCAGGAAGACCGGAATATATATATTCAGATATGTGTTCTGGGCATTTAAACCAGCAATTGATGATTTTGTACATTGCCGTCCGGTAATTTCCATAGACGGTACTCATGTCTATGGAAAGTATGATATTAAGCTGTTGATCGCCATTGCAGTAGATGCCAATGGAGAAATATTTCCACTAGCCTTTGCCATCTGCGCAAATAAAAGCGAAGAGACGTGGACGCTATTTGAACCACTTGAAGAAGCACGTTGTCAAACAACATTTAGGTATTTGTCTAGTTACTGATCGGCATGGTGGTATATTAAGTTCTGTTGAGCATTTGCAAAAGAGAACGCGTATACGGAACTGAATGGATGTTGGTGATACCGTTTATGCGGGTAAATGTGGCATATGCTCCCAAACAGGACACGGCCGTCGTAAATGTCCTTCAGCTGGTTTGGGTGGCGGTGGGAATCCAGCTCCTGGTGCAGGTTCATCTAATGTGCCCAACTATTAGGGATACATGTAGTGTTTTATTTTCTAGTAATGTTGTTTGTAATAAGTGTATGTACTTGTTTATGTTGCAAGATGTTGTATTAAATAAAATTATGTTTCCACAGCCTTGTTACATCTTATTGATATTTAATATTTTTCAGTTGAGTAAATTAATGAATTTTTCCCTCCCGTTCATGTAATCAAAAATGTTGGATTAAAAAATGGAAAATTTTTACGTTCACTTTCGAGTTTCACTCTAAAATTATTAGAAAACTACACTGTCATAGGAGGAAGATGTTTGATAAATAACTGAATATATATAGCGCGGTTAAATACTACGTTTTGTGTGTGTCTTGTCGATCTTAAAAGCTGCCCGACTACGAAAAAGTTGTTTTGTATCAGAAAGAATCTTTAACACGCCAAACATAGCGCGGTTAAATACTACGTTTTGTGTTAATATATATAGCGCGGTTAAATACTATGTTTTGTGTGTTGTCTTGTCATCTGAAAAGCTGCCCGACTGCGAAAAAGTTATTTTGTATCAGAAAGAATCTTTAACACGCCAAACATAGCGCGGTTAAATACTACGTTTTGTGTGAACATATATAGCGCGGTTAAATACTATATTTTGTGTGTTTTCTTGTCGGTCTGAAAAGCTGTCCGATTGCGGAAAAGCTATTTTGTATCAAAAAGAATCTTTAACACGCCAAGCATAGCGCAGTTAAATACTACGTTTTGTGTGAATATATATATATAATGCGGTTAAATACTACATTTTGTGTGTTGTCTTGTCGGTCTGAAAAGCTGCCCGACTGCGAAAAAGTTGTTTGTATCAGAAAGAAACTTTAACACGCCAAGCATAGCGTGGTTAAATACTATGTTTTGTGTGAATATATATAGGGCTTAAATACTACATTTTGTGTGTTGCCTTGCCTATAAATAACAGGCGCATTCTAATTGTTTTCTGCGCTTAACCACAACAAATAACAAAACTTTCCATAAAAGCAGTTTTTTTTAGATTTAACAAATATCTGGTCGCATGTATGTACCAATGTGCCAATGTGGGAAGCGTTGTATGATGGCGGACTGTTGGGATGACGATCAAGTTGGGCGCAAATACTGGATGTGTGTGAACAGGTTTGGAGGCAACAATGGAAATTTTTGCAACTTTGAGGTATGGCTTGATGAACCCTGTGAGCAGGAATGCAACAAAAAATCTTTGCAGTATCTTCATGATTTGACCAAAAAACAGTGGGAATATGAATAAGAATATAAACGAGAAATTGCGGAATTGAGGGAGACACTCAAAGAGGTGGAAGAAGAAAAAAATAAGCTGGAAGAGAAATTTAAGTGGTTGGAGCAGAGAATACTAGGCGGTGGTGACTAATGTATGACATGTATGTGTTGAGTGTAGTACTTTATATTTATGTTTCCCCTGTCATGTATTCTCATTAGTTGTACTGCATTTAAATTATGTTAAGCTTCTATATTTGTGTTTGTGTTGTAGTGTTAAAATAAAGAATAAACGGGGAAATCAAAACATAATGCGCATATTATGTAAGCATAAAAAATTGTTGTTATTATTTACATAGC